CTGGATTTATTTAAATTTAAAGGGGGTACACGGGCAGACGCATTTAGGGGTATGGGAACCATAAGGGAATAGTCTTGATGGTAGGTCAGGTGAGCGCGAAGTGAGAGAGATGTTAAACAGCGTGGGTCTACCTCAGTGCCTGACATCTGGTGGGAGCTTTAGAAACTAGGCCCAGGTCAGTAACCCTCTCTAGTGGGAGGTGTGTGATACAGTTGGGAAGACCTACTGTGTACACTCTTAATTACCATTTGACCTCTCATTTACAGCTTGACCTCTCTGTGACCATTTGGCTTCTCTGTGAGCACTTGACCTCTCTGTGACCATTTGGCTTCTCTGTGAGCACTTGACCTCTCTGTGAGCACTTGACCTCTTTGTGACAACTTGACTTCTCAGAGACCACTTGGCCTCTCAGAAATTTCATTATTCATTATTCACCCTGATACTAGCTACTTCTTGTGTTCCATGATCTAATTCTCAAGTTCTTTATTTCTTAGATGAAACTCAGGAGTCGTACCACTTAATATTTTCCTGTTATTTACCTGTTCCTTCACCTGCCTTCTTCTCTATCGTTTGGTAGTATATAAGCCATATGGGTTTAGCGCTTGTTTTTGAATACAATAATATGCCATAGCAAATTCAGTCTGCCTCAGTGATTTTTATTTTGTCTAACTGGTCTCTTTCTGACACACAGTAACCTCACTGCCTCCACAGTGACCTCACTGCTTCCACAGTGACCTCACTGCCTCCACAGTGATCTCACTGTCTCCATAGTGACCTCACTGTCTCCATAGTGACCTCACTTTACCTCAAGTGACCTCATTCTATCTCTAGAGTGGCCTCACTCTACCTTTACAGTGACCATATTGTCTTCACAGCCTAATTCTGTTTCTTCACTATCTCCAGAGTACCTCACTGCTTCCACAGTGACCTCACTGTCTCCTCAGTACCCTCACTGCCTCTTCAGTGAGGTCACTGTCTCCGTAGTGACCTCACTGTCTTTACAGTGACCTCACTGTCTCCCCACTTACCTTATTGTCTCCACAATTACCTCACTGTCTCTACAGTGACCTCACTCTCCACTGTGACCTCACTATGCCTTCACAGTGAGTTTACTGTTTTCACAGTGACCTCACTCTACCTCCACATTGACCTCACTGTCTCCATACTGACCATACTGTCTCCACAGTGACATTACTCTGCCTACAGTAATCTTTAACTAGTAATGACATCACTGAGATTTCAGAGAAAATGCTCTACCAGTATACAATAAATCTTAATGCAAGTACACATCTGATATCACTGTGATTATTCACAGGGCTTCAGGATCCAAGCCGGGACGGTAGTGTTGAACAACTTGTACAGCGTTCATATGGACCCAGGTTACTGGGGTGACCCGGAAACCTTCCGCCCAGAGCGTTTCATCAACCATGATGGTTCATTTCGTAAGGACGAGCGTGTCATTCCCTTCGGCAAAGGTGATTCTTGTAATGAAAAAAAATATCTTTTCGTTTTGCTAACGTTACGTTTCTGTTGCATTTATTAAACAATTTGTTCCAAATATATACGTTCGCTTTGCAAATATAAAACTTGCGGTGTAAATGTAACCTTTAGCTATAATTATGTTTGTGCTAAAAAATGTTGCATGTTTTCTTTCTGTATTGTGCTGGAAACAAATGTCCAGTTATATTATATTTTCATATGGCCAAATAACGTTCAAGTATGAAGCTTCGATAAATACTAAGATTAGGTAACTAGTAAGAAAATTTGTGCACTGGTGATCGTAGCTCACGAGGGCAGAAGACTGCAAACTTCTTGGTAAAAAAAAAGGTCACCAAATGAGTCGTAAATATTTCTGGCTATGTTGTTATTCTTGTTGTATATCTCTCTCACACTTTGCATCCATAATACCTACCAGTGTTTTCCCAGGTCGACGATCCTGTTTAGGAGAATCTCTGGCCAGGATGACAACGTTTTTGCTGTTCTCTTCTCTCATGCAACACTTCACCTTCAGTCTGGACCCCGCTATTCCTGTCACCAACACGGACGGCAAGATGGGCTTCACGCTCAGCCCTCCAGAGTTCAAAGTCTTTGCCCAAGCTAGGCTCTAATGTTCACATTCAAGCCTCAGGAACTCAAAGTCCCTCATTACGGCAATTTGTAGTGGACACAATCACCAGAAGATGAGGAAAAACAACGCAGTTTCTTGAGGTGTAGCATCAGTCTTACAAAGACAATTTTCGTTGTCACATCATCTGTTTATAATCATTACATGAAAGTATCCAAAAAGTAATTTGAAAGTATCCAAATTTTTTTTGAAAGTATCCAAAATGTATTTAGAAAGTATCCAAAAAGTTTTTTGAAAGTATTCCAAAAGTTTTTTTTAAAGTATCGAAAAACTTTTCTGAAAATATCCAAAAAGTTTTTAAAAAGTATCCAAAAAGTATTTTGAAAGTATCCAAAATTTTTTTGGAAAGTATCCTAAAAGTAATTTGAGAGTATCCAAAAATTAATTTCAAAGTACCCAAAAAGCTTTTTGAAAGTATCCAAAATATATTTTTAAAGTATCCAAACGTTTTTTGAAAGTATCCAGAAAGTTTTTTTGAAAATGTCTAAAAAGTAATTTGAAGATATCCAAAAAAAGTAATTTGAAAGTCTTCAAATTATATTCTATGGTATTGTGAGTTCCTGAAGGAAAGGTAATGAAATTGAAGATGTATGAGTAGAAAAATTGACAATGAGTGATGATTTTAAGAGGTTTTCGATTAAATTAATGGTTTTCCTAAGTGAAAGGAGTCTGGGGTATGTTTGTCTCCAGAATAAATTAAGGGCTAGCTAATGTTTTTGGATGTACTCACCTATATGTACTCACCTATATGTGGTTGCAGGGGTCGAGTCATAGCTCCTAGCCCCGTCTCTTCACTGGTCGATAATAATTCACTCTCTCCCTGCGCCATGATATTTGTCATACCTCTTCTTAAAGCTATTTATGGAACTTGCTTCCACTACTTCACTCTCCAGATTATTCCAGTTCCTGACAACTCTAAGACTAAAAAAATACTTCCTAACATCCCTATGACTCATCTGGGTTTTCAGTTTCCAATTGTGTCCCCTTGTTTCTGTATCCCATCTCTGAAACATTCGATCCTTGTCTACCTTGTCAATGCCTCTTAGTATTTTATACGTTGTTATCATGTCCCCTCTATCCCTCCTATCCTCTAGTGTCATCAGGTTGAGTTCCCTTAACCTCTCCTCATAAGACATACCGCTCAGTTCCGGGACTAATCGTGTTGCAAATTTTTGCACTTTCTCCAATTTCGTGACGTTTGACTAAGTGAGGGTTCCATACTGGCGCTGCATATTCTAGTGTAGGCCTTACGTACACAGTGTACAATGTCGTGAATGACTCCTTACTCAGATGTCTAAATGCTAATCTCAGGTTTGCCAATCTCCCATATGCTGCAGCAGTTATTTGATTGATGTGTACCTCAGGGGACATGTTCGTTATAATGCTTACCCCAAGATCCTTTTCTTTAACTGACGTTTACAGCTGTTGGTTTCCTAACCTGTACTCCATCTGCGGTCTTCTGTGTCCTTCCCCAATCTTCATGACCTTACACTTACTGGGGTTAAACTCCAGGAGCCATTTGTCGGACCATACTTGTAGTTTGTTCAGATCCCCTTGTAATCTTAACTGATCCTAGCCCACTTGTATTCTCCTCATCAGTTTCACATCATCAGCGAACAGTGACACTTCAGAATCTATTCCTTCCACCATGTCATTCACGTATACAAGAAACAGCACTGGGCCTAGGACTGAACCTTGTGAAACCCCACTCGACACATTCGCCCACTCCGACACTTTAGCACGTACCAACACACGTTGTTTCCTTCCTGTCAGGTATTCCCTAATCCATTGCAGTACTTTCCCCATTATTCCTGCCTGCTCCTCTAATTTTTGCACCAGTCTCTTGTGTGGTACTGTGTCAAAAGCCTTCTTGCAATCTAAAAAGATGCAATCTACCCATCCCTCTCCGTTTTGTCTTACTTTTGTTACCTTATTGTAGAACTCAAGTAAATTTGTGACACAGGATTTCCCATCTCTGAAGCCGTGCTGACTGTCATGTATGAGCCCAATCTTTTCAATGTCTTCCACTACTTTTCTCCTGATAATCTTTTCCATGAATTTACATATTATACAAGTCAGTGACACTGGTCTGTAGTTTAGTGCTGCCTGTCTGTCCCCTTTCTTGAAAATTGGAACTACATGTGCTGTCTTCCACGCCTCAGGCAACTGCCCTGTTTCGATAGATTTACTGAAGATTGCTGCTAATGGCACACACAGTTCATCTGCTCCCTCTCTCAGTATCCATGGAGATATGCTATCTGGGCCCACCGCCTTTGGGTACCGAGTTCGTCTAGAAGTTTTTTCACCTCTCCATGTTATGTGTCCCGTACAGCCCCCTGCGGGTGCCCCTGCCCCCACGTTTGCGGGAACATTCCTTGACTCTATTGGGGAATTCTCTAAATCTTTTTATAGTTCATCACATACTTTTTGGTCACTTTCGGAGCCCCCTCCTCTTTCTAGCCTGATTACCTGGCCTTGACTTGTTTTTCCCTAATGTGACGTATAACAACTATGGTTCGTTTGGGGTTTTTGGGGTGCTATGTCGTTCTCGTTTCCCTCGGGGCCCCTCTCTCCTTATCCTTGCTTTTCCCTTTCTGGTTTCTTCTGCTCAGCTCTTTTTTTTTCTTGGTCCTTTGCCTTCTATCCTTTTTCCATTCTCTAGCACACTTGGCTTTGGCCTTTTTTACACCCCCCTTTAAAACCGGGCCATCTGGTCTTACCATTTTTTCTGTTCCTTTGGTATACCTTTCCTCTGCCTCCCTCACATAGTGGTTATTTTTCCCCCTATTTCATTCACTGTTTTTCCATCTAGTTTCTTTTTCTCACTGCACTTCATCAGGAAACTTTTTTATTCTTAGGTAGCCCCCTTTTTTTTTGAATTTTGGTTTCTCTCTTTTTTCTCGGCTGCTGATTTTCCACTTTTAAACCCCTCCAAAGATATGTCAAGCACCGTGTCTTCCTTGCAGGCACCCAATCGCTAAACAGTGTCTTCCTTTGCAGACACGCAAGGCCCAGGGGGCACAACCAAATCTTCAGTGGGCTGCAGAAAACAATATAAAAGTTCAACGATGAGAAATTTCAATTACTCGATATGGAAACATGGGAAAATTTAAAATCTTAAACAGAGTACAAAACAAATTTGCCACAAAATAGAGCAAAAACACCAACGTAAAAAAAAGACCTGGGAGTAAAATTTTCGGAGGATCTCCCTTCAAGGACCTAACATTGTATAAAACCATCGCTAGAAAAATGAAAAAGGGGGATAATAGAACCTTTAAAACTAGGGGGCCAACCCGAGACACTCTCAGGTCACTTGTTTATTAGGCTGGAATATTCTGCACTCTAACGCACCTTTCAAAGGCCAGGGGAAATTGCCCCTAAAAATTACAGAGAATTTCCGGGGGCATAACGGAGATAAAACACCCAATTACTGGGAGGGTTTAGGTTTCTAAACCCTTTTTCCCTGGAACGCAGGAGGGGGGGAGAACTGATTATATACACCTGAAAATCCTTGAGGGACAGTACCGAACTTGCACCAAAATCACTCACTACGAAAGGGAAAAGACTTGGCAGACGAGCACCATCCCCCCAATGAAAAAGCAGGGGGGTCACTACACTTAAGAGACCATGCAATAAGTGTCAGGGGCCCGAGACTTTCAACTGCCTCCAGCCAAAAAAGGGGGATTACCAAAAGAACCCCCGGCAGTCTTCAAGCTGGCACGGCAGCACCTAAAATCAGTTCCGATCGCCGGGCGTGGGTCGTACGTTGGTTTGCGTGCAGCCCGCAGCAAAAAGCCCGTTTTTCAGGGATCCACCGGAGGGCCTGGTCACGCCGGGCCCCCCGGGGGGGTTGCCCCCCCAAACTCTCTCCCGGTAAACTCCAGGTAAACTGCCCAAGGGGGGCTTTCGTGGGTGATTCCCTTTTGTCGAACTGTTCAAAGGGGAATATGGATCCAGCCGGGTGCAAAATCCTCTCCTCCTTCTGGTTGTATCCCTAACAGTTGATCATGAAGTTCCCATTACGTCTCCAACATTTTTCCCTCCATGTTTCTGGTCCCCCCCTGTGGTCTAGGTTTTCCCCGTCAATCTTTTTTTTGATTAAAATCCCCCTTATAAGCAATTTTGTCCTACCCAATGAGTCCTCCTGGCCACTTCAGCAGTGTATCCACCCTTCCCTAATGCACACATCTTACTCTTCTCCTTGTTCTCCTGCTGTTAAAGCGATGGGGTTATACATCACTGCTACATCATCCACCTTTGGACCACCAGTCGAAGTGTATCCTACAATAAGGTCGTCTTTTTCCCTTCTTCCATCCTCCCCCATTCACTCAAAACTCCACTGGTCTTTTAAGAGCAATGCTACTCCTCCCCTCCTCTGTTCCTCCTGTCTTCCCATAATCTGAATCCAGGTGAAAAGTCATTTGGTTATCATCCGCTGTAAGTTTTGTCTCTGTTTTAGTGCAATGATGTCAGGTGAGGCATCAATGATGCGTTGCTTGGCCACTCTACACTCTTCTTTGTTATTTTCCATCTCCATTTGGTGTACTCATACCTTTAGCTTCCTCCTATCCATTACTGTATTTTTGGGAGATGGAAGAGGAAGGTGCAGGCTGGGAGGTTGGGGAGGCAGGGCACAATATTATGTAAGGCTGCTGTGATTGGAAACCATAGAGCTTAGGTGATGGTGGCTATGGAGTGAGTTTCGTTTTCTGTTACTGTGTTTGTTTGATATGTGGTGAATGGGTTGAAGGGTTTCTATAACCATTTGTGTTTGAAGTACCCCCAAAGGGGCTGAGTTTCCTGTCTGTCATTGCCTGTCCTATCTCTCTTTTCCTTCCACTGGTTCTGTCTTGTTCTCACTTTCAGTTGTTTCTTTCCTTTCTTGTCTGTCCTCAATTGAGGAGACACTTTTTTGATATCTGGAGAGTCCTATTAAAAGTGTTTTTCTGTTGTAATATCCTGTTTCCGTACCACATCTGTCTGAATGTCAATCCGATTGTCGTTTTTTTTCCCTCGAATACCCCCCAAGAGTCTGTGAAATTTTCTACCTGGAGACATGTCCCTGCTCTCCTGTTATTACAATGATGTTTTTCTTAATATGCCTCTGTTTTCTCCCAATGTCTTTCTTTCATCATAGGTCTGCCCTTCAGCCTCCAGAAGCTCATGAATAATTATTGACCTCTCCCTCTCCTCTTCCCTTTTCTTTTCCCTCTGTATCTCTGGATCTGATTTAAGCATCT